ATTTTTATTTTGCATGGGGAATCTACAAAACTAACATGGTATGCTCTGGGCTAAAAATTGTTCATACATTTGTGTCATCGTGGCTAGATGGCTGAAATGCCATATTTACCAGCTTAGATTTGGGGGGGGGAACTGTCAGTACTCCAAGCAATACAAAATGCTGCAGGCAAATTAAAGTATTTTAGACACGGCATCAAAATTGTTTAGATCTTGTTTCTGCTCTTTAATTATTTTAAAAAAATTTCCTCCCAGAAGAGGAAGACTATTTCACTTCCACCATGTTGTTGTCACAGCAACAGCTTCCAACTACAAATACAATAATTGAATCATCTCAAGTCTTATTGAATTTCTGAGCACATGATGTAGACCGCACACGTCCTTGAAATCTGTCTAATTACACTCCAACCTCAGGTGGAGGGGGGAACTGTATATAAACGTGTCTGTAATTCCCAGCTGTAAACAGTGTACTGTATTTTAAAGATGGATGGAGCTTTCAGGCTGGAAAGTGAAGCCAATGCAAAAAACTTTAAACATGCATTTTTCTCTAATGCCGAGCAGGGGGCAACTCCTACCTTGTACACTGCTTAGAAGTCAATGGGGAAGAAAAATGACCCCAATGTCTATATTTTGTCTATAAAGCAGAGTATGCCTACCGTATGATTCCTCATTTTTACCCACTCATAAGATCAAGTTTAAAAAAACACTTTAATACAGATTTTCACTTACTTGGCCATAACATGGTGACTAAAGCACTTATGATGTTGCTGTTTGAGATGTCAAAGCCTTTTGACTTGCTATTGATATTTGTGATGGATAATAACAGTTTGTTTTTGTTTGTTTTTTCTTCAGCTGTGCATCGGTATTTCCAGAGTCTCCTCGCTGGCTGCTGGCCACAGTTCAGATTCCTCAAGCGAAGAGGAGCCTTCAGGATTTCTCTAAAAGAAATTGTGTTTTTCTACAAGACGACCTCTACCCTGGCGAAACCCTGCTGTCAGGTACACACACACACACACACCTCTAGGATTTCTCTGTAGGCGTGTACAGTTTTCTCCTGGTTGTTGGAGCACAGGCGCTAAACCTTAAACGTGATGCATTAAGAGAAGAAAAATCTGGACCTCACCAATTTCTAAACCCTGGTATTTCCTTGGTAGAAGCAACACGTATTTCCAAATCAAACTCAGTGGGGTTTAACTTTGTTGGGACATCAATTTAAATGATTTCCCTGTTTGTGGTTACAGAGATTGATTCAGTGTACGGCGAGGACAGTCAGCCACGATACCACTCTGCTCTGGAGCTGCGTCGGACTCACGTCATCTGGAAGAACTGCCTCATACTCGGCTTCACCTTGTGAGTTTCCTCTCTTCATGAAATCAGCGGTCCCGAGTCAGGGGCGCTACAATGAAGTCCATAAATATTTGGACAGTTTTGGTTCTGTGCATCACCAGAATTCATTTTAAATGAAACAACTCAGATGGAGTTGAAGTGCAGACTTTCAGCTTTAATTCAGTGGGTTGAACAAAAACGAACAAGAACTGCAGGCGAGTGTTTGATAACTGATACTGAGTTTTTCTTAACACTGAGGAGAAGTGAGAAAAAACCTTTTTGTGGTGTTTTTGTTCAGTAGTGGGTTTTTTTCCTTGGCTCGCTCCCATGGTGCCATGTTTTGCCCAGTCTTTCTTATTGTTGAATCATGAACTCTGAACTTCAAATGAGGACTCGAGTTCCTGTTTAAGTGATGTCGAGATCCAACTGGCAGTAATCAGACCTGAGTGTGGCTGGTGAAATTGAACTAAGCTTTCTAAACCAAAACAAAGTATGAGTTAGTTCATGATTTAGCAAGGAGGGCATCTACTCTCCACACAGGAAAGGCATGTTTTGTTAGCTTTTTCCTCCTTGTTGGGTTGTCTTCGTCTAATATAAAAAAAAATTTGACCTGAAAATTTGAAATCCTGGAAATATGTCAAAGTAAAAAATGAGGAAGGGGGGAAATACTTTGTCATCAGCTGTACACATCAGTGGTTTGTTACTTTGTTACAGAAGAGGTCAAATTAAAGGGGAAACGATTCATTTGTTTTTGTGTGTTGCTATGGCATCAACCATGAGGGCAGGAAATGTACAACATGCTTTCAATATCTGCTGCGCTTAAACCACAAAACTGATTACCAAGTGCCACGACAGGTCCAGAGCTAGATGGACTGAGATATTCCCTAACGGGTAATTTTTAGGATTTGAGGTACCCGCTTTCAACCTGATTATTTTATTTTTTCCTTTGCCATCCAGATTCATTGGAACAGGCATCCAGTACTGCTTCACCAAAAACCTGCACACTTTCTCCAATAAGTTCTACTTCAGCTACTTCCTCCGGGTGGTAACTGGAGCGCTCGCCTGCATCTTCCTGTGTTTGTCCATCAATCACTTTGGCCGACGTGGCATGCTTCTCCTCTCTGCCATCATCACTGGACTGTCTTCACTCCTGCTGCTGGCCCTTACACCATGTATGTAACATCCACACAGGCCCATAAGATCTACTGTAAATTCCCTTCAGAGTTTCCTTGAAAAAGTTTTGGATCACATCCCAGAAAGTTTTTCACTCTCTGGTTTTAATGACTCTTTTTATTGACGTTTGTGTTTGACAGACCTGCAGGGTGGCCTGGTGCTGGTGCTCTCCGTTGTGGGTTTGTTGTTCTCTCAGGCTCTCGCCATGCTCAGTGCATTCTTCACCTGTGAGGTGATGCCAACTGTAGTTCGGTAAATGTCTCTTTGTTCTTGATTAAACTGAAAATGGGACGTATTGATCCCATTTGCTGCAAAGTCAAAAGGAAGTTTTAAAGTACAAAGAAAAAAAAAAATGGGTTGAAACAAAGTACCGTGCGATCTTTTCACCTTGGTGATTTATTCTCCTTTTCCTGTGCTTCCTCTCTCTCGTCCAGAGGTGGCTGCCTTGGCCTGGTGCTGGCATTGGGTTGTGTTGGCAGGGCCGCCTCCTCCCTGATGGAGCTCCAGAACAATGGTGGCTATTTCCTCCATCATGTTGTCTTCGCTTCCTTCGCTGTCCTCTCCGTCCTCTGCATAATGCTCCTACCTGAAAGCAAACGGAAACCGCTCCCAGATTCCATGAAGGACGGCGAGAACCAGAGGCGACCACCCCTCTTCCTGTCGCAGCCCACCAGAGACAGCCTCCCTCTACTGCACGCGCGTGCCCCTTTGTCGGAGTACAACCCGGATAACTACTCCCTCCTGGTGTCTGCCACCAGGAAGATGTTGACTAAAGATTCTTTGCCTTACAGGATCGGTGTTCCTGCTCATCCCCCTCTGCTGTCAAACAATGAAACACAGGAACCAGAAACTCTGAGAGATGTGTCTTAAATTTAACCCTTCTCCTCCTCTTTACACTCTAGCTTGAGGGGAGGAGCCGAAATGTTACCTCTGACAGGCTTCAGTGCAAGGGTCAGTGACTAGCTCTTCATAACTCATCTGGAGAGCTGGATGCACTTTAGAGCAATGGCTCCAACTTTGTCAGTTTTCATCAATATTTCCATCTGGTCTCTTTACATTTTGTTACTATGCAGTGGCGTCTTCACGCATGGATCCGGTCCACCGCTGTGGGACGATGGCCTCCTTTTGCTGTGTTTTGTCAGCCTTTTCTGAGATGTAGGAATATGTTGGTACATTCCCAGTGCAGCTGGGGTCACACTGCTCATGTCTGTGGTACGCATTCAAAGCAAACTGGCACACTCCAGTGTTACCAGAGGAGCTCTGTCATGTAAAGCTCTTTGATTGCGTTTCTCAGTAACACAGTTCTTCATTAAGTCTGTCTGCCTGACTCACCAGCAGATAGCAGCGCTGAGTGAGCTACAGATCACCAGAACACCCAAGACTATACTCGTGAAGCACAGCAGGGGGCGCTGATGTACTAAAAATGATCAATTATAGTTTTGTTTTTTGGTTTTGTTGTTTTTTAAAGGCTCTTTGTTTCCTGTGCAACTAACAAGCTTCATTTGTCCTTTTTCTGATGTTAGGATGTGATCAGTGTGGATAAACACAACCATTTCTTTACCATTACGTTTTTCTGTCTTCATGCTCCTTCTATAAACCACATCTATTACCAACTATTGCATTAAAAACTGTCTTGTTGTTTTCTACTTAAAAACTGGAAGTGGCTAAATTTCAAGATGCACTAACCACAGCAGCTGCTGAGCGAAAAGTGCGTCTGTGTCTGGAATGCTTCAGCTAAAACGCAACAACGTTGTGGAACCAGTAGACATATATATTTACATTCTTTTTTAAAAAAAAAAATGGTTTGTTTAATGTTCTTTTATGTTTACTAGTGCGGATGTTTTACGTGTTTAAAGCCTTTAGTTCGAACTGTGAGATGAGATCATGTCTTCAGCCGTCAGTGTCGTTGTGTGATAGTTTACTGTTTGTGAATACATAACTTTACCTTCAGTGAGCAAACAAAGGTGCTTGTGTTGGAACTACAGTTGGTGATGTAAGCTTTTAAAACCTAATGTTTTATTGTTTCTTTGTAAAGTAAAATGTGCAAAAGCTGAGTGTTAACTTTTTAAGGAAAATAATCTAAATCTTTTTTTACTTCTCTGTAAAGCAAACTCAAATCGACAAAACTTGTTTTAAAAATGTTCAGTGATGGTGTTTCTCTCTCTGAACACTAGATGGCCCTGTTCACTTTACAAAACAAAGAAATGTACTGCTTGGAGTGAAAATGTTCAGGTGTGTTACTCAGATTATAGTTGTGTGACTTCATTATTCAACTAGGGAAAAAAACCCCTGTTTACAGTCCTGCCCATAAAAAGGCACCTTTACTACTGTTTTTGTTTTAAATGAGATAAAATGGATGAATTGAAACTCTGACTCAGGTTTAAATAAACTTTAATAACATAATTTGTTTGTCCATCTTTTATACCATTTTAGTTAATATAATTGAGTCTTAAAGCTTTAAAAACTGCATGAGGGGAGAAAGTTGTGCAGTAGTTTCTCTCAGCGGTATAGCATTACAGTTCAGGATGTAACTCAGGACTTACATACTGTAGGTTCTACAGTCACCCATTAAACAGTTGATGTAATCCAAGCCTGGAGAACCAGTGTAATCAGAAGCGCCAGTGTACTGAGCGACTGGGCTGATCCGTTGGAGCCGGAAGTGCTGGGGTATCCGAAGCTTGTTCTGCACGGGTTCTGCACATCTTCGTTTGGAATGGGAACATCATCCGGGATCTCGTTGCTCATGCTGTCGCGGACCTGACACACAAAGATGACATCGTCAGGCAGGAGACAAAAACACTAATGGGGTGTATTCACTGTGAGCCCATCTGCTATTCAAAGACATTGTTTAAAACCTGATGTAGCCACGGAGTAGCTGTCAACACCAACATTACTTATACACACACATTTTAAAAAAGCTCAGTGGTCTTTAGATGATCATTGATAGCTTAGAGATTGTATTCAGGCATATGTCCCAGTGATCCACATGAGGGTTCATCTGTTTATCTATAGTGCTGTTAAATTTAAGTCTACTTGATCAAAGAAAAACAATAATAATGCAGAGAAACTGGTAGAAGGTGTGGTTTCTGGGGATGAGGAACAATGACTCACAATAGTTAAATGTTATAACCCCCCCCCCCCCCATCATTATGCAGATGCTTATCTGGTGCTGTAAAGCCAGCTGAGATGCAGATATAATTCGACAAGTCATTACCTAACCGTAAACATCTAAGTTTTCGGTTAGGTAATGACTTTGTGAATTGCTACTTGTCGCAAAGGACATTTGTCACAAGACAACCTGCAGAAACCAGCTAGTGCAAAACATTTTGTGATGGATGTGATTGGAGGAATTATTATTAAACACCTTGCATTCAGAGCCATTTTAGAGGAAACCAACATGATGACTCGGATCCCCACAGCAGGTCTTTGAGTGGCCTCACACATGCAAAGAACTCACTCACTCCTGATCAACTTCCCTTGAATGTGCACAGTAATGCACCGTTTTAAGTTGTTACAGATAAACATCCAGTCTAGCTTTTGTTGCAGGCATTAACTTGGAGGAGTGTTGCCCTTGAGTTGATGATATATCCCACGATATTGATGGTCAGAGTTTGATATCATGGATTTTGGTTTTTAAGACATTTGCAGCTGGTATAAAATTGATTTAGTTGAAATGATTTTTTCTCTTCAGCCTTGACAATGTCATGCAGCTGGTCTCTGTGGTGCTCAAAAATAGTGGAAAAATCTGTGACTTAAAAGGACCCAAATTTCAGCCCAACCTTGTGCACTTTTGGTCCTGTAACAAAGAAAATGTCCATTTTATGATTTCACAGTTGGTGGAGAATAAAAACCTGACTTTGAGGGGTTAGGTGGGAAACACTCATTTGGTGGTTTTTAATGGAATAACAGATCTACTAGAGTCACTTCATCAACCAGCTCAGAATTACAATCCGGAAACAACTGCTATATCAGATTTTATTGCTTTAAGGTGTGCTGAGTATCTAATTCTTTCTTATCGTTGCAGATCCTCAGATAAGGAGGCTGATATCTCTGTCACGCTGGTTTAAATGGATGGAGTGAGGAAACGTCTTAACAGGTACTTTTGGTTGCTCTCTCTAATTTCCCAAGGGGAAACAGATCTGCATGTTTGATTTGGCCAGGTGCCCTTCCTCCTCACATTTATCCAGGCTTGGGATCAGCACTGGGAGTACGCTAGCTTTGTCCTCTACTTTCAAACTGAAGATCTTTTGCATCTAAGGTAAATATGTTTACCACTGAACAAGCCAATCAATCAAACGTGTGCAACCAACTTGACCAAGCTTCTTCACACAGCTCTCCAAATGATACATGAACCCATGAAGTGCATCGAGGTTTAGGTTACTTGTGTGTGTTTGTGTGCATGCATTTATTCCTTACCTTCTCAACCTCACTCATGACACGGAGCAGGTTATTTCCAAGAGCAGCTTTGACTTCCTCATCAGTCCATCCTCTCCTGAGCAGTTCAGCCACCAAATTGGGGACCTTGGACACATCCTCCAAACCCTCAGGTACTCTAAAAGGACAAATTTACAACCAGCGAGTTACATGTGATGTAAAATTGAGTGGATTTTTTTTTATACAGCACTTCCAAAAAGCAGTACTATATTTAAAACAAACAAACACAATTTTTTTTTATCAAGAAAAATTACAAGAAAATGCAGCTCATTGGAAGCAAAATGTAAAGAAAAGTGTTGGTGGGTTTTTTTTCTTCATCAAGACAATTTTGAATATGACACGAGTCTAACTACCCAACGGGCAAAGTTACAGTACTGTGGAAAAATCCTGAACCACTCCTCATTTCATCATATTTTCCTTCCAACAACTCACACTTTCTTGCAATATTTTAAAGTGGTCTTGACCAGTAGTTCTCCAGGCTTTGTGAATGTTTTTCAAAGTGTTTCTTTGGACACTGGCTGCTTTTTCCATGCATCTTCAGTCCAGTCCTTGTACCTAACCATTTTCAGATGAATATTCTTTGCTTTTTTTTAAAAGCCATGTATAACACAGACCTTTCAATCATTCAAGAATAAAAGGCACGTAAAAGGATGAACCAGTATAGACACTTAAAAACAAGACTTTGTTAGTAGCACAAAAACACATCATTTGTTCCAATTTCTTTAGACGAATCTCTGAAAAATACCCAAGATAATAGTTTGACAGGAGAAGAAAGTGTTTTTGCACCAACAAGGTGATTCCCAAAGAGCTATTAGCAAAAAAAAACTTTGGTGCATCTCTCCACGGTGTGCCAATGTCTTCACATTTCAGCGAGTTTATGTGGGAACACACCTGGGAACGCCATCATAATCTCCACCAAAGCCGATGATGTCTGCCCCGGCCACTTTCTTTATATGGTCGAAATGATCTATAATGAAAGCAACAAACTTGAGAATGAAGTGAATGGACAGAAGATAGCTTTGAGAATGAAAAGATAAATGTTAATGTTTAACTGGTTTACAGCAGATGTCATGGTCACAGCAGTAATTTACCTGCGACATCAGACAATTTAGCCGTATTGCTGCAGGTCACATAGTCATTGTAGAAGTTGACCATCACAATTCCTTTAGTTTCATTCTGGAGAGACAGACTAGTGTTAAATGGCTCTGATCTACTGCAGAGAATGACAGAAAGTCAAGAAAAGCATCAACCGGGCCACAAAATGCACGTCCCAATGATCCGCATGAGTGCACTGACCTCTGCTACGTTTCCTGGTTATAACTTTACGTGTATCATTTTACAGTGCTGTACAATAACTTTCTTGCTTTTATCTTATTTTATTGACTTTAGGAGGGAAGTTGTCATTACGCATCATTTAACTTGATCCATTTACAGCCATTTGCAGCTCATCTGTTGCATAAAGAGCTTTTATGGATGCGTTATCTAAGACCCCAAGCAGCAGTTCAATATCAGCTGGCTGCGTGTTTTACTGTGATCAGGTGATCTGTTGATGCATTTTGCTCCCCCACATCCAGATCACTTACAACATCTGTGGTGCACTTGGGCCCAGTTTTGTGTTATTTCTAAGAGCTGGAAAGAGCTAAATATTATTCCTATTCCACTCCATTAATTTGATGTGAGAGTTTCAGGCAAAAGGTTGTGGATGCTAACTTGTTAAAGTACAATATATTGTTATAATTTAAACCCTCTATTTGCATTGTGACTCCTTGCTTTTACTCCCACTTTTCAGATGGTTTCAACTATTTGAGGAGCAAACACCAAAGATGATGCAATAAGAGAGAGAATCAAACAATAACCATGTGAACTATTCATATACTGCTGATCTTCACGAGGTCCTCAGCCTTTAGGTTGACCTGCTGTTTCTTTCGGTTGTGTCTCGTGAACTCACCACTCGTCTCAGGACGTCATCTGGGACGTTCCTCTTATGTGGACAGACGGCGTATGCGGAGGAGTGGCTGAAGATGACCGGAGCTTTAGACAGGGTCAGCACCTGGTTCATCACCTCCTCAGAAACATGAGCCAGGTCGATCAGCATCCCCAGGCGGTTCATTTCCGCAATTACTTGCTGTAATGTGAATGCACTTTGGTTACCACTGTGGTTGTTATTGTTTTTATATTTTCTGATTGCTCCTTATTTATATATTAGTTTCAGTTAGTTTCAGTGAGGGTTGGGAGGATGTGCCCAGTGTTTCAGCTTTGATCTTTTTAAGTATTATTTTATGTAGCACACATGCTAAGAGGTAAGATTTAAGAAAATCTGTAAAGCTTTTCTCAGGCTTTTTTTTTTAAAAAATTCAACAACACATTAATTTGTTTATGTAATCATGCATCAGCAATTTTTTTTTTATTAGTCTGCCGTTATCTAACTCCATCACAAACAGCTCCAACACTCCCTCCACCTCACCTCACTAAGCTCATGTGCGTGTTATCAACAGCAGAGTTTTTTTACACCAATTCCACCAATATAACCTCTGGCAATAAATGTTATTTTCTTTGAAGTGCCTCAGAAGAAACTTTGGGCTAATGTCGTTAAGCTATAAAACATAATAACGGAATACTTTTTTATTGATGCTCTGTCAGTGTTTTCTGATGCTTCTTTTCCGAGTTAATGAGGTCATGGTTTTTACAAATGGCTGTCAGCAGTCTGAGTTGTAGCTCTCTCCTGATCACTTGCATATAAAACAACAATTTTAACTTCAAATCTCTCCTTCAGGCCTGCTGTCACTTATTTTCAGTCCAGTTCTTGTGTAAAAGGCCTCTTAAATAGTTAACATAAAGAGATTCTTAAACATTTGAAAAGTAGTGATTTACCATATACACAAGAAGGTCAGCTTTAACCTCCTAAGACCTGAACTCTTTCACGACATGCATTTTTAATTTCTCTTTGATATTTGGGCATATTGGGGCCTGATGAATGAAAAAACAAAGAATTACCAGATTTTTTTTAACCTTATTTTTGTTTTTAAGAAAAATAAGAGCCACATATGAGGATATTTGTTTAAAAGTTTGATAGAACAGTAGCAGTATAATGTCCTCGTAAGTGGATATCAGGCCCATGTAGAGCAAAATTGAGTATTTTAGTCTAAATAACCCAAAATGTGATGTCTACATATGGACACAGGGTCCTAGGAGGTTAAATGAAAAAAGAGGAATAGGAATAAAGCTACACAAAAGATGTTAATGTGTAACATAGTACTCCCAGAAATAATGATTTCCCACGTTTGCATCACTCACTTTGCCAAAAGAAGAGAGGCCGTTATGCTCCGATGGCTCTGATCCAGTGTCCACGAGCCAGTTATCTACCCTGTGAATGAAAAAGCAAGTGTTAGTAAACATGCAAAACTTAAGACAACGAACAATCTGGAACTCATTTAAAGTAAACTGAAGTGTTCATTAACATTTAATGAAACATTGAGAAAGATGGTAAATGGCCTGTATTTGTATAGCTTTACTAGTCCCTAAGGACCCCAAAGCGCTTTACACATCCAGTCATCCACCCATTCACACACTGGTGATGGCAAGCTACATTGTGGCCACAGCCACCCTGTGGCGCACTGACAGAGGCGAAGATGTACAGAGATATTTTAAGGTCTTTCTCCATGATTTCAGACGTAGCAGATTATATAAAGTTCACCGTTTTCCCAATTCTAAAAACAAAAATAAAAATAAAAGAATTGGTAAAAGAATTTAGTAATATAGTTTAACATCTTCCTGGAGGCCGATGTTCACATGGTGAGGTGCAGACCTCCCTTTCTTTCATGCATGTCTGCACAAAACCTTTACAAAAACAAACAAACTTTATTTGTCACATACACAATCATACAGAGTACAACATGTAGTGAAATCCTTGTGTCCGAGCTGCAGACGTAACCGCGCCATTCCAGAGCTTGATTTGTTTAGCATGGGGATCCTGGATCCTGAGCTGCACTGAGTAGGAGATGCTCTGCAAACTCTCGGTACCTCAGCAGAGCTGGCAATATCATCAAGGACCACTCTCACCCCAGCAACCAACTGTTTGAACTATTACCGTCAGGCTGACGGTTATAGGTCACATAAAACCAGGACAAACAGATTCAGGGATAGCTTCTTTCCCAGAGCTATCACCGTAGTAAATAAGCACAAAAACAATTGAACCTATTCCATACCGTCACTGTCATTATATGCTGTTATTCATACTGTCATTATATTAATGCTGCTATCCTGTATATATTGTACATACTATTGTTTGAGTACTTACGATTGTTTTTGTGTACTTTTTATATTTTACATTTATATTTATTATTGAAACTTGCACCAAGGGAGTGGCACTCCAATTTCGTTGTACTCTGTACAATGACAATAAAGGCTATTCTAAATTCTCTGTACACATGTATCGTGACACAAAAGGCATTCTATTCTCTTTCTGTTTCCTAAATTTAACCAGCTGCTGGTTGCACCTGGTTGGGTCACTGTTGAGGTAAAGCATATCAGTACAGATTCACCTGCCAGTGAATGTGATACTGCTGCCTGAGTGGGCCTGCAGGAATCCCCCGTGCTCTCCACAGCTCCAATGCAACATCTGAACCTTACTGTCGGCTCAGTTAATGAATGGAAACAGTGCAAACACGATCCAGAGGAAGTTATTCTTCACATAAGACGTCTCTTGATTCTTTTTCACATGAATTTATTATTGAAACTGTCACACAGTGACACAGCCCCTAACTCTGCATTTTCTGTTTAATGTTGTGTAGTTGTAATTTGGATAAACATTCATCTGAATGGGGAAGTGAAGGCATGTGACTGAGCATATTTAACTCAGCTGAAAATACAGAACTAGAACTAATAGCTACTATATTTTCTGCCTGGAAAACACATGTCATATAAATATAGAGGCTCAGTTTTCCAGACTAGTTCTCAAAAACACTTTTCAGTGAAGATGTTGATTGAATTTGTCATTGCGATTGATTTTTGTCTGTGACCAGGCTCGATCCATGCCTTGCAAATCACTACGGCTATTTTCAATTTTCTTAGCAAAATATAACGAAACAATGTGTTTATCAAGACTTTTGCGCAGCATTATAGTCAATCAATAGAAACATGAAAATAACCTACTCATTGTTTGTATTCTTCTGAAAATTCAAACAGATTTCTTCATATAAGTAACAGCAAATTAATTGATCTTTGAGGTCTGACCGATGCCTTAAAATGTGGTGATGGCTCTTACCAAGGTGTGTTGCAGGAGTGGGTGAGTGTGAGGTAGCGCACCCCCAGCTGGTACATGGTGCGCAGGGTCCCCAGACTGCTGTCGAGTGAGTGACCACCCTCAACCCCAATCAGACTGGCGGTCTTACTCATATTAAAGGCCTTCAAGATGTCTGTGCAGATATGACAGTTGATGTGTGATACAACCAGGAGAAGGACAGCTATGAACTGTCGGAGTCAGTGTCTCACCTTGGCTACTGGAGGCAAACATGAAGATTTCAGGGTATTTCTGACACATCCTGTGAATCACGTCTATCTGCTCCAGCGTTTGTCTGACAGCATCTTTGTACTGAGTGTCACAGGGGACGTATGCTGCCCAAAACTGAGGACCAGAGCAAAGATTATACTATGTATAATTAACTTTCAAAGTTAAACAAAGATGAATAAAATACAATCATACTCTCAAACACATATGCACAATGCTGTAAAAAAGGTATTTCCCCCCCTCATGATTCTCTGATTCAGCAGGGTGTGGCTAATTCATATTTTAATTTGTGGGTGTGGGTGGAGGCGGCTGCGTGTTTCTTTTTCATGGCGTTGATTGTGAGTGGTTGCTGGAAGCTAATGACTGTCACTGGGAAAGTGATTGATTGCTAAAGCCCAAGTCACGCAAGCCTACAGATCAGTAACCACCTGTTGCTAGGGAAAAGTGTGCACATCCTAACCAGTAGGTTAAAATTTCCTGGTGATTGGTTTGGTCACTATGATATTGCTGCGATCCTCTGTAGTTTGCATGGAAGTGACAGACTTGTGTACGTTCTGAGTCAGCAACATCCCGAGACCACAACCACCCAGTCAGTGAATGCATGTCTTCCTAGCAATGACTGTTTGTATCACGCCCCATGTAGCCAACACCTCTTGCGCAATGCACATGACATCATTCAAGAAACTTTAATAGAAATTAACTATGACAAAAAATAAATAAAACAAAAAACATATCCCCCCCAAAAAAATTCTTTTTTATTGTTTTGGGGGATTTTAATTTTTTGAGTGTTTCAAATGCTCGGCTTCTGTTGGCTTTTCTGAATCCCTGTCTTGATTTCATTTTTGTTCTAGTGATAGTTGCCTGAAAGGAGTATTATTGAATCTTTCATTTAGATTCTTATTTTCTGGGCTTTCTTGGAATGAGTGCCAGCTCTTTCACTCTGTATCAATATAAGTTCCCTTTGTTTTCCCCGTTTCCTTCCCCTCCACATGGTGTAACACCTTCCTTCTGTTTTTTGTTTCCCTCCTTAATCACTTAAGTAATAACTAGTTTTTAGCTTCATATTTCGTGTCTATTTGTTTCAGTTATGGTAGTTTCAACATCTTCTGTTCCTTTTGCGAAAAACGGTTCCCATTAGTGATTTATTTTTATTATATTATTTTATTGTTTTGTTTTATTTCTCCATGTGAGTATCTTAATTATGTTCAGCTGTTTTTGTTACCCTTCTCTGTCCAAACCCAAATAAAGCCGTCAATGTGAACATGTACAGCCCCAGTTTTCCTCCTGGTGTCCTGTGTGTGTTTTGTGTGTAGACTTTTTAGAGATTAGAAATTAACTATCAATATTTGCCTTTTAGTTTTGGACCCCGTCTCCTGTGCACTCCTTGTACAACTCTGTACAACTGCAATTAAAAACAAAATGTATTGACAGATATAGATTTTTTGAGATGCTTTTAATCTCTTGAAGAAATGGCTGACTTCTCTGCTAATAATATATTTAAAATGAGAGTGTAACATGACTTTTTAAAATGATCAGTCTGATTCAGTTATGTTATTTTGTGAGATGTCTCCAGTGAGGAAGGTTTGTAGATAAGCTGTGGGAGCCCATGAATAAGGAGCACATTGACACTGAAATTATGTTTTTTCTTTAATAATTCTTCCATTGTGTGTACCTGAGCACCCAGTCGTCCATCCTTGATCTTAGGGATGTTGGTGTGAGTGTTTGCCAGTGTGTTAAGATCCACTTTGTTCAGCTGATTGTTGAATTGTGACCGAAGCTGCCAAGGCAAGTCATTATGACTGGAACAAAGCACAGGAGAAAGATCACATCAGGAAAGAAGTGAACTTGTTTTATTGGGTCAGCATTAGACTTCAATCGCAGATATTTACACACTAATCACAAATAAATAAATAAACAAATAAAATTTCACTTACCCATCAATGAGTGGCGTCTCTGACATTAACTGCAAGGCTCTGGCCATGTAATCGTTGGGATCCACAGCCAAGGTGATGGCGCAGGAAGTGATCCAGAGCACCAAGCATGAAGCCAAATTTACCCTGTGCAGCATTTCCTAAAGTTTAAACGCACTAAATAGATTCCTGTCTTACTCTTTGTTTGTCTGGTTTTATCCTGATAACTAAATCAAAAATTGCAGTGGCTGAGCCTCTCTTTGACCTTAATCTTAGTCCTTGAGCAGATTTCTTACTTAAATGTCCTTCAGTCCTTTGTCTGTTGGGATCTTTACAGATTTTCGCTCCAGATTCTTTCTGTTTTCAGTTGTTTATATGGTGCCAAATCACTACAAAGGCTGCCTCGAAGTACCTTTTATTGCAGGACTACTCTTTGCTCCTCCTATGTGCTGAGTAAGTTTACAGCGCCAGCTATAATAAATGCAGCTCAGTAGCTTATTAATCTCTGGCTCTCTTCCGCAGTGTGTCTTTGTCCTGCCTTCCACCCCTGACCCTCAACAAATGGCCACCCCTTCCTGAGCCTATAACTGGTGAAGGATTCGTTTGGGTAAAAAAGGAGTTTCTTCCCACTTTTGTTGTTTGGTCATAAGGGGGTCACACGACTGTTGAAGCTTGACAGCAGAAAAAAAACTGGTTTCAATTGGTGTTTTACTTTTCCCTTTGAGTGTCTTAATTGTGTGGATGCCTTAATAGGCATACACACTATTGAGTTCCTGTTTCTCTTTAATCTTTATACTTTATTCTAGTTGCTTCCGTACACTTTTTGGCACTTAACTACTCCCACAGTTTTTGTGCTATTTTCACCGTTCAAATCTTAAAAAATTCTGCTCTTTTTGCTCTTTCCGGCTATGACTTTTGGTGCTCATAACTTCTATACTTTTTGAGATATTGATTTTTCTTTTCAATATTTTTTGCCCTTTTTTGCATATTATCAGTGGCCTCACTGATTTTCCTTGCCGGGTTGAGCTGTGTTTTAGCTCAGTGAGATGAGCATCTGTTCCCGGACTGGGAGGCCCGGGTTCAAATCCCGCTTATGGCAACATTTCTTTCAGTTAACACTTAAACTTTTTTTTAACTCTTCAACACAAATTTAAGCTTTTTCACCCCTTTTCAGCACATTTTTCAGTTTTTTTCACCAGTTTTCAGCACAAATACCAGCTTTTTCAGCTGCTTTCAGCAAAAACCTCTTTTCAGCAGAAATTCTGCTCATTAAACTCTTTTCAGCAGAAATTCTGCTCATTCAACTCTTTTCAGCAGAATTCTGCTGATTAAACTCTTTTCAGCAGAAATTCTGCTCATTCAACTCTTATCAGCACAATTCTCAGCTTCTTCTGCTCATTTCAGCACAATTGTCAGTCTCTCCACCTATTCTTTGTCAGAAAGACGTTGGCGAAGTGAGATGAGAACCTGCCTTGAGTACCAGAAGGGCCAGGTTTGAATCCTGCTCAGAGCAACATTTTTTGCTTTTTTTTTTTTTTCCAACTTTTTCAGCTTTTTTCAGCAGATATCTTCAGCCCTTAAGGCATCCACACAGCATTTTCGCAGGAAATGCAAATTTTTCTAGTCTTCAGCTGTTTTTGTTATTCGTCTCTGTCCAAACCCAAATAACACCTCTGTGTAACATATACGGCCCCAGTCTAACTCCTTGTGTCCTTTGTGTATGTGTGTTTAGACTTTTCAGAAATTAACTATAAAGATTGTCTTTTGGTACTGAACGCTGGGTCGGTGTCAGCTATAATGAATGCTGTTCAATGAGTCTATAATAAGCCCCTTGAACTGGAGAGGACCCGGCTTTATTTAACAAAATTCAATTAGTTAAACTAAAAGCTTATTTTAAAGACAAAAATGACTAAATTTAGACAAAACTGAGGTTACTACATTTGGCTTAAATTTTCTTTGAAACATTGTATCTAACCAAATGCTTACTCTAGATACCATTATCTCCTTTAACACTGTGAGAAATCTGGGATTCCAGTAGTGTGCACATTACACAAATATGTAGGACTGCTTTCTTGCATTTGAGCAATACAGATAGATTCTTGATGATCCAAAATGGTGCAGCAAGTATACTGACAGGGGCTAGAAAGAGAGCATATCATATAATTGGTGGGGTTTTCTCTGTATTATTGTCTGGTCTTTATCTTAAAGCGCATTGAGGCAACTACTATTGTGATTCCCCGCTATAAAAGTAAATCTGAATTGAAAATTCTCCATCGTTATTGTGCACATTTTGAGCAACAAAACCTTTTGACAGCAGTCTTTTTTGCATCAGCATGCGGAATAAATAAAAGAATAAAAGGTTACAAGAACTACTAAATTGGCTTGATTGAATTTGAAAGTTCAGTTATAAATAAATAAATAAATAATAAAACAAACAAATTAAGACAAATTAAGAGCTTCCTTGTGAGCTTCTCTTCATTGGCTGACCGCTGAATCCAGAACGGAATTTAAAATCCATCTCTCCACATTATTATACCTTGAAGACATAATAGTACTTTACTCTCAGACTGCCTGCTTGTGTGCAGAGTTTCTAAAAGCAGATTGGGAGGGAGAGCCTTCAGCTATTCGGTCCCTCTAGTATGGTATGAAACGCCAGGACTGCCATAATGAATTAATTAAATACACCATTAAATAATTAATTAAAATGGGAAATAATTAAAAAATGTTTTTGACACATTTAATTAATTAATTATTGCCACATTTAAATAATTATTTAATGGTGTATTTAATCAATTCATTTTGGCACAGTTGACACCTTCAGGTCTCACCATGAAATAATTTTATCTGTCAAACTCACCCATCAAACTCAGGGGGCGAGGTTACCGCTGATCGAGTCAAAACCATTGCTTTGGCCTGATGGCCATTGTTTTTAGCACACAACAACCGGCATGTGGAAACTAACAGAACTGAACTTTGAAAAACCCTGTTTGTGTGTCACCAAATACCGTTTTAATATTTTTTAGAATGTAGTGGTTTAATCTTCATGTGTCTGGTCGGTTTGTCAAGATACAGCCTCTTTGCAAAAGTGCTTCGATGATTTCGGAGATGTCTGCCCAGTCTCACGGCGAAGCGATAGACCCGCTCGCCTCGCCTCGCAAGCAATCGAGCTGTAATTACCACCGACAAAGCGCAGGCCCGGGACACAGCTGTAATAACCCCCGCTGACACTGACTTCTTTTACTGACGTTATATTTATCGGCTTTTTATTTCCTGATGTTCTTATGTGTCCTACGTGTTTCAGTCGCCAAATAAATTCGATTAACAGCTGATCTTTGGGTTTTTGTTCAGTAATCAGCGTGACCTGCGTATAAACGCAGAAAAGAGATAACGTTGGTGTTTCCGTCATGTAGTAACTGCTGGCTTTAACTGTACAAAGGTTGTTCGACACTATGAAACACATACAGACTTCATGATGTTCGGCTAATATTTTAATTGTGAATATTAATCATGAGGGTAAACGGACCTGTACACCACGGAGCGAGGTCAGCATGTCCACGATATCTTCAGCTCTCTGAGTCAACACAGAGTTTCCCGGCTGAGTAATTTAACTGTCATCTACGTATAATTCACGGATCATATCAAAATGATTTTACAGAAAATCATCCTTATTACTGCCAACTATTCCAGAGACGTGAAAATCTACAGCATAAAGAACAAAAAAAATATAGCAGTCTAACGCAACACTGTAACAGAGATGAACGCATCCGTTTGTCGCAGATCAAAGTGGAATGAAAGTGATTGGTTGAACAGGTGTTCGTGATCTGTGTCATCTGCGTTTTCATCAGCGTAAGAGACTCAGCAGCAGATTAAAATAACAGTTATACATTTAATAAATCACCAAATGAATCCAAGAAACGAGCAAACCTGTTCTGACAGTTTGAGTTTGTGTTCCCTCAGCTGCAGACTCGCTGCTGTTTAAATGTGTGAGAGGAAGATTAGATAGAAAACAACGTCAAACATAGACTCAGCCTGTGTTCACATTTGATATGAGCTCAGGGTGTATAGTGGCTGTGTCCTGTTTTAAGATCATACATGTAAAATTGTTGTCTGACCTGCATGCTCAGAGTCCGTGGTTACCATGGTTACTGCATAATCAGCTGTAATCTAAACAGCTGGCACAGCAGAAACCTACCGGCGACATGAGTGTTTATGGTTGTCATTGCAAAAGAACTGTCTGAAGGTTAACTGACGTTAACTTGGATAAATTATAGTTAAAGAGTATCACACTTAACACCCACGTGAGCTGTGTGACTGTTCACCACTGCACTGAAGTCAGTAGGCTATTACTTAAATACACGTGCTATCATAAACTATGATATAAATAGGGAGGTCCTATTAACATGTTTAGTTTTAAAGGACACCTTCCTGCCTTTAGTGTCATTCATGAGCAGTATTAGTTCTCTTCAAACATCCAGAAGTCTGCACGATGTGTTTCATAGTTTCTAACAAGCCTTTGACAGTTAAACATAACATGACCGAAACACCAACAACCCCCCCCCCCAAAAAAATCAAAAAAAAAAAAAAAAATCACACAAATTATTTGTTAACCGCATTTATTTTTACTTAAATAAACTCTAAAAATTCTAACAGATCGCTGGTGCTCAGAATACAGTTGAATAACTATTAAAAAACGGATGATATAATATTTCTGTCCAGGTTGCAGTCTCACTGGTGTCAAGCCAGCCTCCAATTCGAGACTTGCAGTCAAGCCAGCCTCCAGTTTGTTTTACGTTCCCTGTGTATTCAAAGTATTACGGGAATGGATGTGGAAACCGGATTTCAAAATAAAAGCCAACTTCGAGTGAATTAACAGATATGTTAATAACATATAATTTAGGCTTTTTTTTTTATTTATTTTTTTTTACACAAACTCTAATGTTAGATCTATATGACACAGCCTTGTACCCTAATTGTGCCCTGTCACTATCAAGGCCATCTTATTTTAGATTTCAAAGTAAAAGCCCTGTGAATCTTCATTTTTGAACTACTCTTTCAATGACTTAATAATGCTCTTAAAAGCCAAAGTCGTATTTCCAAATACTATTTGAACTTTATATCAACACTTTCCAACCACAGTCTTTTTCACAGTGATACGATATCAATATCAAGTCATTCTGATTATGCCTTCAAAAATAAAAGACTTTTTAAATTGTCCATAATTGACCTAACTTTCAGTGATTTCAAAATGTTTTAAAATGGAAATTTCCTGTTTCCACAGGGTAATTCCACTCCAGCTCAACAGTATACAGCCCCACAGTGATACCATATCAATATCAAGACATTCTGATTTTGCTTTAAAAAATAAAAGCAATTTCAAACTGCCCATATCTGAGTTGCTCCTGGAACAATTTCAAAATGCTCTAAAATGGAAAATTCCTGTTTCCACAGGGTAATTCCACCTTAGATCAACAGTATACAGCCCCACAGTGATACGATATCAATATCAAGTCATTCTGATTATGCCTTCCAAAATAAAAGACTTTTCAAATTGTCCATAATTGACCTAACTTTCAGTGATTTCAAAATGCTCTAAAATGGAAATTTCCTGTTTCCACAGGGTAATTCCACTCCAGATCAACAGTATACAGCCCCACAGTGATACCATATTAATATCAAGTCATTCTGATTTTGCCTTCCAAAGTAAAAGCCTTTTCAAATTGTCCACAATTGACCTACCTTTCAGTGATTTCAAAATATATTTCAAAAAAGCCTAAATTATATGTTATTATGTTCTTAACATATCTGTTAATTCACTCGAAGTTGGCTTTTATTTTGAAATCCGGTTTCCACATCCATTCCCGTAATACTTTGAATACACAGGGAACGTAAAACAAACTGGAGGCTGGCTTGACTGCAAGTCTCGAATTGGAGGCTGGCTTGACACAAGTGCAGCACTCTCCATGATGAACACGCTGTTGCAAACTCTGCTCCTCTCGGTGGAAATGCGCCTTCTCTTTCCTCTTTGTATAAAACATTTTAAAGGTCAGTTTAGTCTCAAAATTCACTGTTAAATCCAAAACACACCAGATAAAGAAAAGCGAACGGTTCAGTCTAACACATGTGCCAGTGAACTATTAAACTTCAGTAAAACTATGCAGTTATGAAACGTAGCTTTAACCTCAGCCAAACCGATTTGCTCAGTTGTAAATAAAACAGCGACAAACAAAACCTGAGTGAATTAAGGCCAGTGTTTAACCACTGAGAGCTGAAACTCAGGTGAGGTTTCAAAGATGTGTGCCGGTGATTGGACATCAGCTGCTGATAAAGTGGGTTCGCCTATAAAGTGCTCTCGGAAAAAAAACAAAACTATATTTACTTATCTTGTGCAGAAAAATGGGCCGACATTGCGTTATATCGAGCACCGGCTGCCCAGTTAAACTGTTACTATCACCAGGTAACGTGGGCGTGTTTCTTGAATTAGCAGCAGGTGTTAAACAGCTGACAGGTGAGGAGGAGGAGGATGCATGCAGGTAAACTGAGGCTGTGTCCCAATTCAGGGTCTGCACGCTTGAAGTACGCATTTTAAGTGCGGTCACCGCCACGCGACGACGGCTGTCGTGTAGGGGAGACCGGGGATAGTTGTAACATTTTTGACATTTCTGTCTGTAAATTGAAGCTCTTTTAAGGTAGTGGATTCAAAATGTAATGCAAAGTATCTACATGTCTCGGCTATTAAATAGTGCAGCTATTTTCTCTGCAGCACAATTACCCATTGCATGGTATGGCCTCAAACACAAAGAGTGAAATGTTACAATTAACCCCATAGTCTGGGTTAGTTGTAACATATCCTGGGGTGAAATGTAACACAATGAAATAAGGGTACTAACAAAACATTAACATGTAATCTTTGTTTATTCAACACATGAATGCACTTAGAGCCATTTATGTAGCTATTTGTGTGTGTGACAGAATGCAGAAATCTAGCTTTTGAACATATTCCAACCCCCCAAAAAAGACAAGTTATGGAATTTTCTGCAACTGAATATTTCATTAATTTTGGTTGGTCTTCCTCGAGGTTGGCCTCATTGGCTCAGTGGGCATTATAACCTACAACTCTTGCACCAATTTTGAACATAACAATGAAGCTGGAAAAATGTAGTTGTTCACCACACTGTAAAAAGAATAACCCTATTCAAATTAAAAAAAATGATGTCCAATTGTCACATCCAAAATATTTGGCTTCAGAGAATCCAAATTGAGTCACTTGATTTGACCTGATACTTTTATGTTGATATAAACAATATTACTAGACTTGACTGAAACTTTAAATTTTGCATTGATCCAAATTGATTTTTTTACATAGAACCATATTTTAATTATTGAACCAAGCTAATATATTGAAATTTAACCAACCTAATGTATTCACATCGAACCAAATTAACATGAACATATGTTTGTGTTGAAGCCAGGTAATTGATTTACATATATTCAAACTATATTTTTTACATTTCATTTTATTTCAGTTCAAAAATGCTCTGCATTTCCTATAAAAAACAAGACAGTTGGCCAACCAATTATTTCAAAATTATTTATTGTTCCAAACCATTTTAACTATAATCAATAGAGAGGATTAGTAATATACAGATTTAGTGCTACGACAGAAATGATTAGAGAAATGTTTGTTTTATAAAACCTGCAACCTTTTGAAAACCAGTATAAAACCTGCAACCTGTCTAAAACTGGCATAAAACCATTATAAAAACTCTTTTTAAACCAATTTGCAAGTACTCAAAAATGTTTATATGTGCACTGTGCCTGTACAATGTAAAAAAAAAATCTACACATGTATCAATGAAATCAACTTAATTCTCCCTTTCAAATGGGTGTTCTTATAATTTTTGAATGTAGAATACCACTGCAGGCCAACCAAGAAAATAACCAAGCACACATGCACATGCATGTGCATGTGCACATACACATCCACACATGCATGCAAACACACTACTGTGCAGTGTTAAGTTCACAATTAAGTTTGCGAATCTTAGAGGTCATCTTGTTAAAGTCAAGCTCCATCATAATCTTTTGAAGAGCCTCAAAGGTGAACCTGAATCCTCGTGGATATTCCATTTTAAGAGCATAACAGAGTCCAAAGACCATTGCCACTCCAGCTGCCACAGAAGGCAACTCATTCAGGACTTCCACACCATCAATGATTATCCCGATGTCTCGACGCTGATGTAGGAGGCTTGAGTTGTCCCTGAAGATGAAGAGTGCCATGGTGGTTACTCTGCAGCTCTTCCTCAGCTTCATCTTTCTGGGATATCTTGAGGTAAAATATGGAACAAAATGTACAAGTGAAGAACTGAAGTCTGGCACACCTGATAAATCTTTGACCATAATAAACTACTATTTTGATAGTTGTTTGGTCACAGACTATTAGAACAATTATTTGACTAATCAGATTGTGAATTGCATAATCATTAAATTAAATCAATGGTGGAAAATTTTCATAAATGTTCCACAAAGCCCAAGAAAAAAAAGAAAACAATACAGAACCCTAAGATATTAACTTGATGAGTTGATTAATCGTTGCTGTCCTACATTAATCATTGCATTTAATAGCAGAGTTGTCAAATTTACATCAAGAGACTGCATCTCATGTAGAGACAGAACAGATATGGACATACCATGTATTCTTTTATCAAGTCCTCAACACATCAGCAAGGTGAATGAGAGGATAATGATGGAGGGTCTAGATTATTATGAAATGTTTAAAAAGGATGTGCAGTGTAAATGCAAAATGATACCTGTTCAGATTAAATGAAAATGTATGCTTCAGCCATGGAATGGATGGAGCGATCTGTGGTTCTGAAAGCATACAGAAAAAAAAGAATAATGTTACTTCTCTATAAAACACATAACATAGAAAAACCAAGAAATACGTAACATGACATACACATCCTTATAAAAAGCTAGTACTATAATTTGATTTAGGTTTACCAAACAGTCTACAGACCAGCCATTAGCGACTAAGTTTGGCATAGGGTCAATTTAATGCTGTTAAAATTAAAATTTCTTCAGAAAATGCACATTTTTCCGAGCCGCGCCTGAAAGTCAATTGAAGGAATTAGTCTTATGTCATTGATCTTATATGCTGGCGTGTTATTTCTGTCTCTAAATCATGCACATTAATAATTATCTTTTGCGCTCGGTGTACACACACATAACACACAGATATTTATATGAAGAGAGACAGAGACAAACGTGCGCGCACAAACACAAGCTTGTGTCTAGAAACCGCGCGCTCACCAGAAAAATTCAAACGAAGCGGAGCACGGAGTTATACTATGAATGTTATGAACTATGAACTTATGCTAGCTAGCTGTATCCACCACCGATGCATCGTGGTAACGCTAGCTAGTTAGTATACTGGTAAAAAACGGCTTTTTGCCTAACTTGCATTCCTGACTGTGATGGTCGGTTTCTGGTAACCAGTTCTAACGTCGCGCCGGATAGCTAGCTAGCTTGTAGCTAGCAGCTACAATCATGCAAAAATTAGGGGTGGCTGTCGACCCAGCTTAAATGGGGTTATTTTCTGCAATTTTGGCAATACAAATTATAAAAGCTTTTGTAACACACTTGGCTTTACTTACGTTTATTTTCAGATGAAATTAATCAAAGATGTGACACGATGTTTCCAGCAGCCATGCAGAATAAAAATGGGTCCCGGTCTATTTCTGGTGGGCGTGTTCAAGTGCAAATCACTTTGACTCAAATTAAAGATATTATCTGTTCAACATGAAAAGAAATATATGTTTTGAGAGAAATCAAAAACTTTGCGTTGTGTCCTTTGTACAGATATTTAGTTTCATCCAAATCAAAAGTGGTATTTTAAAATGCAAAAAGAAAGGGTTTCACAATCAAATCAATGATTTTATTCTGTTTTGAATGGCACTTATTAGATTGAATGAATGACTGCATGTTAGACTTTTTTCAGTGCAGCATCGCAATTCCATTACTTTACCTTGGTGTGGTTTGCAAAGTGCTTCAGAAAGATGAGGAAATCTGTTTCTTGCACCCATCCTGATTTATTTCCACTACCAGTACTTCCTACTGGTCCATCTCTGACACAGTGGTCTGCATAATGTATGTGTGGGAACACAAACAGTGGAGGAATTGTGTTGCCAATGGCATTAACCGCATGTACAAATGAAACCAGTGAACCTCTCTCTGCTGATGTCGTTGCCCCAACTTGTTTAATATAAGTTAAAGTAATAGTGCGGTAAGTTGTAACATCTGCATTATTGTTACAACTAACCCATACTGTTGCTGTTACAACTGACCCAGACTCCTATAGCCATGAACTAGCTAACATTACAGCCAACGGCTAAAACATTAGCACTAAAGACCTACACAGAATATATCCCCACAGACATACAAATAACACAATTTAAGTTTGATGAGTTTAACTGAAAAGCAAATAATGCTATTAGAAATTGAAATAAAGTAGAAAAACTTACTTTTTGGCATACAAATTACTTTTTTTTTGTGTTAAATTGTCTGTGTTTGACAAAATGTGCTGATTTTTCACATGTGATAGCAGAACTGAGTTGGGCATGCACAGGATGAGTCACATCATTTGAAACTTAGCCCTGATTGGAGAAATTGGAAGTGTTACAACTGACCCACGTTACAACTATCCCCGGTCTCCCCTACTTCAAATGCATACTCCAAATGCGCCGTCGATTTCCCCAAATATCAAGCGTGGTCCGGTGCACGCTTCGTGGTCCCATATATCCCACAATTCATAGCGCGGTGGTGGGTGTGGATAATTTTGCCGCAAAATACGGCAGAAGGGAGCAGCCGAAGAGGGTTTTTTTTTCTCCAAACTTTATTGAACTTATAAAGCGAACAGTCAATCATTCCAGTTCAGTTTGTACAGTAGACATACAAGGCAAATAAGAGTAACAATATACAGTACAATGAAATAAGAAGGATAAATAAATAAAGGATAAAAAAAGAAAAAAGAAAAAAAAGGGGGGGGGAGGATGTGACAGACTTCATAACAACTTTTGACAGCTCATTCGTTAAACATTTCTGAATGAATTTCAATCAATGATAAACCTTTTATATTGGAAGTTAATTTAAGAGAGTTTAAGTAATATTCAATTTCAATCAAAACCAAATTAAATGATGGGGTTGAGTCTTGAAATTGACATTTATGTATGTGGAATTAATAAGATGGAGCGGCCGAAGAGTGAACTGTCAAAAGTACTGAATATGACGTCACTTATTTATGTGCGAATGTTTAATAATTAAAGTCAGTCATATATCCACAAACACAACAAGCTGAAAGTCAGATATATATATATATATATATAGGGGTGGGAGTTAAAAAGCTTGTCTTCATCCCACTCCTTTTCGAGCTAAACTTGTTTTTTCTTTTTTTGTGTAATTGTACATTACAATAACCTTATTATTTGGTTGCTCGAATAAAAGACATTCATTCATTCATTCATTCATATATATATATATATATATATATATATATATATATATATATATATAAACACCCAGCACGCCCCTGCGGGCGGTTTATCCTTCAAGCTCGGGTCCTCTACCAGAGGCCTGGGAGATTGAGGGTCCTGCGCAGTATCTTAGCTGTTCCCAGGACTGCGCTCTTCTGGACAGAGATCTCCGATGTTGTTCCCGGGATCTGCTGGAGCCACTCGCCTAGCTTGGGAGTCACCGCACCTAGTGCTCCAATTACCACGGGGACCACCGTTACCTTCACCCTCCACATCCTCTCGAGCTCTTCTCTAAGCCCTTGGTATTTCTCCAGCTTCTCGTGTTCCTTCTTCCTGATATTGCTGTCATTCGGAACCGCTACATCGATCACTACGGCCGTCTTCTTCTGTTTGTCTACCACCACTATGTCCGGTTGGTTAGCCACCACCATTTTGTCCGTCTGTATCTGGAAGTCCCACAGGATCTTAGCTTGGTCATTCTCCACCACCCTTGGGGGCATCTCCCATTTTGACCTCAGGACTTCCAGGTTATACTCGGCACAGATGTTCCTGTACACTATGCCGGCCACTTGGTTATGGCGTTCCATGTATGCCTTGCCTGCTAGCATCTTGCACCCTGCTGTTATGTGCTGGATTGTCTCTGGGGTATCTTTACACAGCCTGCACCTGGGGTCTTGCCTGGTGTGATAGCCCCCAGCCTCTATGGATCTTGTGCTCAGAGCTTGTTCTTGTGCTGCCATGATTAGTGCCTCTGTGCTGTCTTTCAGTCCAGCTTTGTCCAGCCACTGGTAGGATTTCTGGATATCAGCCACCTCCTCTATCTGCCGGTGGTACATACCGTGCAGGGGCCTGTCCTTCCATGATGGTTCCTCGTCTCCCTCCTCTTTCTTGGGTTTCTGCTGCCTGAGGTATTCACTGAGCACTCGGTCAGTTGGGGCCATCTTCCCAATGTATTCTTGGATGTTCGTTGTCTCATCCTGGACTGTGGTGCTGACACTCACCAGTCCCCGGCCCCCTTCCTTCCGCTTAGCGTACAGCCTCAGGGTGCTGGACTTGGGGTGAAACCCTCCATGCATGGTAAGGAGCTTTCTTGTCTTTATGTCAGTGGCTTCTATCTCCTCCTTTGGCCAGCCTATTACCCCAGCAGGGTACCTGATCACGTGTTGATGGCCCGGATCTTGTTCTTACCATTCAGCTGACTCCTCAGGACTTGCCTGACCCTCTGCAGGTACTTGGTGGTTGCAGCTTTTCTAGCGGCCTCTTCATGGTTCCCATTCGCCTGCGGGATCCCCAAGTACTTGTAACTGTCCTCTATGTCTGCAATGTTGCCTTCTGGTAGTTCAATCCCCTCAGTTCTGACTACCTTCCCTCTCTTTGTTACCATCCGACTACACTTCTCCAGTCCGAACGACATTCCAATGTCATTGCTGTATAGCCTGGTAGTGTGGATCAGTGAATCGATGTCTCGTTCACTCTTGGCATACAGCTTGATGTCATCCATGTACAGGAGGTGGCTGACAACTGCTCCGTTCCGTAGTCGGTATCCGTAGCCAGTCTTGTTAATGATCTCACTGAGGGGGTTCAGGCCTATGCAGAACAGCAGTGGGGACAGAGCATCTCCTTGGTAGATCCCGCACTTGATGGTGACTTGTGCTATGGGCTTGGAGTTGGCCTCTAGTGTTGTACGCCACATCCCCATTGAGTTCCTGATGAAGGCTCTTAGGGTCCCATTGATCTTGTACAATTCTAGGCATTCCAGTATCCAGCTGTGGGGCATTGAGTCATAGGCCTTCTTGTAATCAATCCAGGCAGTGCACAGGTTGGTCAGTCTGGTCTTGCAGTCTCGGCTGATTGTTCTGTCTACCAGTAGCTGGTGTTTTGCGCCTCTGGTATTCTTGCCAATTCCTTTCTGTGTCCCGCTCATGTATTGACCCATGTGCCTGTTCATCTTAGCCGATATGATGCCTGACAGGAGCTTCCATGTAGTACTGAGGCAGGTTATTGGTATATATATATATATAGATATATATATAGATATATATATATATATATATATATATATATCAATCATAAAATTCAAATTCAAATTTTTTTATTTGTCACGTACACAGTCATACACAGTACGATATGTAGTGAAATGCTTGGACAACTGCTCGTGACCTAAAGAAAACAAAAAAGGAAAAGGCTATGAATAAGATAGGAAATAAATATGAAAAATTACAAAGGGTAAATTTAACTAGGAAGGAATAAAATATAAATTATGGTTAAAAATGAAATAACTGTACAACACAAATTAGAATGAAGGGTAAATTTAACTGGGAAAGGATAAGATAAAATATATAAATTAAAGTTGAAAATAAAATAACTGTACAACAAAATACACAATATAGAATAATAATCTGACAATACTATAATATTGGCCTAGAGCTGGGCGATAGAACGATAACGATATGTATCGCGATATAACTTTTACGCGATAGAGAAATTAAGCTATCGCGATAGACCTCGCCGCTCTCGTCCTCTTAAAAAAAAAAAAAAAAAGGTCAGCCAATCTAAATTAAGTAGCGCAGAGCCGAACCAATCACAGCCGCAGCGTCACGTCGCGTGACTTGTTACGTACAGCACAAGTGCCAAGCCGCACGTGTTTGTTTGGGAAGCAGCCAGCGGGTAATGGAGCCAGCGCGTAATGGAGGAAATGAGTGTGCCGACTAGAAAAATCAACCGAGCGTGACCGAAGAGAAAACAGATGATGGTTCCAATGCCGGAGAGATTGTTGAACGGAAGAGCCATAGAAGTTCCGTAGCGTGAAGGTATTTCGGCTATTTCAAGTCTGACAAAAAACAGAGTAGCGTGCACTGTAAATTGTGCCGAAAACAAGTCTGGAAATACAATAAACTGGTGCATGCGTCACACTGTGCGCCACGTTATTGTTTCGGTGAAATGAATTTCTACAATACTGTTTCTGTTAATTGTACTCTCTGCAGTGTTTAAATGCTTACATATATACACACAGTTACTGTCCCTCCACACATACGACTCGGTTCTGCTTCTATTAGTGATGGGTCGTTCGCGAACGAAATGGCTCTTAGATCCGGCTCTTTGACGTGAACGACGCGGGCCGGCTCCTTATCGCGAGCCGTCACGTGGGTTTTTTTTTTTTCTTTCTCTCAGCCTCTCTCTCGCACTTTTTTTCCGCTTCACTCTGCACGCGAGCCTTGTGCTTTACGCTGGGCAGAGGGGGGAGGGGCGGTAGTTACACTCAGTAGCACAGGAACAGAGCCAGAGAGAGAGAAAGAGAGGCAGGGACAACAACATTAGAAAGGTATAGTAATCATCCACAACTAGATGATAAAGGATTGAGAAAGTTTATTCATGCAGGTCCATATGACAGAGAATATGCATGTTCTTTTAGTTTTCATATTATAATTTATATTTAATTGTGTTGTGGTTTGCAGTGTTTTGTGTTCTTTTCATTTTAAATTTGTGAAAGGAAAAAGCTGAAAATTTAAATAGTTAAAACTTGAAATGTGAATAGTTGATTTTTGTATTATATGATTTATTTATTACATTTTATGTGGAGTGAATAAATAAAAGTATATTTACGGTGGCCCCTAGAGACAAAGCACATACAAACTTCAAATCACGTACGAACTCTGAAGCATGTACAAACTCCAAAACACGTAAAAACACGTACAAACTCCAAAACACGTAAAAACTCGTAAAAAACACGTACAAACTCCGAAGCACGTAAAAACTCAGAAGCATATAAAAACTCAGAAGCACATAACAACTCAAAACACGTACAAAAGACAACAGAAGTGCTCCAGGATGCTGGGCGCAGTGTTGAGCCTTTGTTATCTTGTGGCTACACAAGCCAGCAAGTACCAACGACCGGATTTGGTGTGTGGTAATAACAGGTGAATGAACTTTTTTTTAAAATTATTTGAATATATATATGAGTGCCTGTGTATAAATACACAAACAATACACACATGCTTTCAATTGTGTAATTTAAGTGATCTAGTAGCTCTGCTTTGGAAGTTCAGTTCATGCTAGAAATGTGTTTTGGAGTTTGTACGTGTTTTGTCTCTAGGGGCCACCGCATATATTTATATATAAACATATATAAATAAAACCACTTGTTTTTATGTTAGTAATTCCTTTTGTGCATAATTTTATATTATTGTTAATAATAAATTAATTAAAGCAACAAAACAACCTGAAGAGCCGGTTCGGAGCCGAAAGAGCCGGATCTCTAAAAAGAGCCGGAAATCCCATCACTAGCTTCTATGCCCCAGCTTTGTTTACTTTGTTTACTTACACAAAGAGGGAGAGAGAGAGAGAGAGGAACAGAGAGGGAGAGAGAGGAACAGAGAGGGACAGAGAGAGAGAGAGACTGAAAGACTGGAGGCCATTGATAGCAGCTTATGGAGTGTTTTTCAGTGGTGAGTAATACTATATAGTCTTTTGTGTCCAAGTAGTTCATACATTTAAAGCTATAAAAGAAACCCATTGTACATTTTGAAAGCAGTCATTGAGAAAATGTACCACTTGTACTACTTTTCTTCTTTTGTCCCGTCAGTCTCTGTTTTTTAACATGTACAGATTTTCCCACGTTGCTGACTTAGCTGTTATTTCCTCTTTCAGTGTGAATACCTGCATACGATATTTGGAAATTACTGCAAGTAACCCCCACTGTCTGTGTGACACGTTAATTAGCGTTTCCTCTTTCTGCTTCAGTCTGTGTGGTCATTGTCTGTGTGTTCTCAACAAGAAAGACACACAACAGGAGAGCATAGAGGCAGAGAGGCAGGCGGAGCTACAGACAGACAGAGCTACAGAGCAGATCACAAAAAGGAGATTAGAGCAGAGGCAGCTGAAAGGATATCAAAAGCAGTAAACAGTTTGTTGAAGGTGGATATGGCCAGGTTAGATGTCACAGAGATGTTTCATGGCATTTCGTTTCCTGGACACCTGCACACTCAGGATTCCTTGAAATATGCTGTCAGCTTTCCATTTCTGGATACGGATATTCTCATAGTGTCTTATCCAAAGTCAGGTAAGAGAGAACAAACTTCCAAAGATACACACACACACACACACACACACACACACACACACACACACACACCAGTCTAACCAGATGAGCATGTTAAGCAACTCAGTGAAAACATGGTGACATAGATTGTGGTGAGTTTAGCAATTTACATAATAACTTCTTACTTTTCATTTTAAGCATTTCGCTGAGTTTGAGTAACTTTCTATGGTTTATATGACTGAATTTCATCAATGTGGGCTCATCAATGCCTCTCACTCATTCCTCTTAACAGGTACCACATGGCTACAGGAAGTTGTGACTCTCATACGCACCAGAGGGAACCCAGGGTTGTCCCAGACTGTTGAAAACTGGAAAAGAGCTCCTTGGTTGGAGCACTATTATAGCTCTGCTCTGCTGGAGGCCTTACCTACTACAGCTCGAGTCATCACTACACACTTGCCTCATCACCTGCTGGGCCCTGCCCTCCAGCACTCCAAAACCAAGGTCATTAAAGTGCACATTTAATTGATAGATTTATTCTAAACATTCGCCAATGTTGGAGGCTGTTACCCACTGAGCCCATGCCTGCTCTCTGCAGCCTGGCTGACGTTAGCAGTTTGCCGCACCAAACTAGTCTAATAAGGGGATTTATAAAACTACTGACTCTACTGACTATTTAAGACCTAATACTGAAAGCATAACGTGCCGGCATCAGATCTTTAAAATGTGCATGTGTATTTTTAACACAATGAGACAAGTTAATACATTTATCAAGCCAAATAATGTCCAATTTGTAATGTCATGCATTCATTTAAAAATAATTCCTACAGGACATTATTAATTATTTTGTGGTAGATCCGAACAACAAACAACACTTCTTTATCTGATCAGGCAGAGTGTCCAGTTGACTGTAGTGTGGAAGCTTAACTTAACTCCACTGGTTTGGCTGGTTTATATACTGATTTGACAGATACCCTATACTGATGTACACAGTAAGCTGAGTTTTGACTTTTATTTGTTGTTGTTGTTGTTTTTACTAGTTATGGTATTATTTACACTTTGTCTGTCAGATAACACAACTAGTTGATTTTTCTGCTGTAAATCTCATTATTAAGCTGTATCTCAGTAATTGTGTATTTTTTCTTTTAAAGCAAAAACACAAATCACAGAGAAACATTTCAAGATTGACAGCTTTTTCTGAGAAAGCACTGTCATCCAGACTTGACAGACTTTTAGGTGCCATGAATTTAACTGATAAATATTTGTGTTTTCTGTTTTTGTTTCCATTGTGGGAAAGCGTCTAATTCTACTTAACAATCTTGACTGCTGATAGAAGTCTAGGGATGATTTCTTGAGCGTAAAGGACAAAGCATAATTTCTTATTAAGTAAAGAGACCACACCCAGCTATGACACTGTGGGTCAGTTGTCCAGTTAAATTAAAATCTCTGAAAATGGGGGACTATGTTTAAAGGTCTCTGAAATTTCTACAGTTATTGCAAAACTTTTGTGAAACTCCTGGAGTAAAAGCACATAGTCTGATTTAAAATCCTCTGTGGTTGTGCACAGAGGGAAAGATTACCACAAAAAGGATCAACTAAATATTTATGGACATAACTGTGAGTAAACTTAACAACACATGTCATGTCACAGGTCATCTATGTGAGCAGAAATCCTAAAGATGTGGTCGTGTCCTTTTACCACTTCCACAAAATGGCCAACTTCCTCCCTGAGCCTCATTCATTTCCAGATTTTTTGGACCGATTCCTGGATGAAACAGGTGAGGGTGACTGTTTTGCTTGTTGTATCATTGTGCAGCTACAAGTTTCAATCTGATCAGATGTGCAGTATTTCTTCACACGCTTGTTTGTTTCAGTTTCTTTCGGTTCCTGGTTTGACCACATTAAAGGCTGGACCAGTCAGATTAATAGCAATCTGCTTCACATCACCTATGAAGAAATGTCGCTGGTAAATTATTGCATCACAGCTAAGCACACTATCCCCTGTAAAATATTCATTTGCTTTGTTCCCTGGTCACAAAGTCAGACGCAGGTCTGAAAAGTGGAAGTACACTTCTTCAAACTGAACCCTATGGCTCATTACATAATTATTTAGCATTTCAAGGAGGTCTCTCCACATCAGTGAAGTGAGGAAATTTAAATTGCACTCTTCTTCCTGCTGCCAGGATCTGCACGGCACCATAAAGAAAATAAGCTCGTTCCTTCAGTGTCCCCTGGTGGAGGACGAGGTCAACAACTGCGTGAAACACTGCAGCTTCAGCAGCATGAAGGAAAACAAGATGATCAACTACACTCTCGTCCCTCAGCAAATAATGGACCACAGCAAGGGCTCCTTCATGAGAAAAGGCAAGTTCTGCTGAACTGTAAGCAGATTAGATGTCTGAGAGTGTCTTAATGTGACCAAAATAGTAGCTGCAAAAATGCAACTTGCTGATAATCTACTGACAGACTTTTGGTAACCTATGACACATTGAGAGCTCTCATCAGTGTGTCATAGGGCATGATAGACGAATCTTAGAGGTCTCAAGAAAATAAAAGGAAATGGAGGAAAATTTATGTTCTCAGTAGCTTTGCTTTTTGCATCATTTCATCTTCATGATAATTATCTTCAAAATAAGTAATGAGAGAAAAACTGTCTGTTTGGTTTAGCTGCACAGTTCACCGTTCCTGTTCACACTAAACGGTCTAAGTGTTTTTAATTTCCTTTCAACTGAATAACAACTTCACCCAGCCTAACCGCAACCTGTTCACAATACCGCCATCTAGAAGGAGATATACAGAAATATCACCTTTGGTCTTCTGGCTGTGAAACTATTCAATTAATATTTAATGACTCAATTATAGACATTTGAATTTTTGAAATTGTCCCTTTTTTAGTAGCATAAAATGACGAGGTAATTATTCAGTCTTCAATAGTCCTATTCAGTCTTGTCATACATAAAGGTTCAACTGAATGATAACTCTTTAATATAAAACACAGTACTACCCAGTAAACTATAACCAAATCCCTTTTTAAAATACATTTCTGATTTATATTTGAAAATCACGTCTTTGTTGGCCTTCAGACAACAGTTTTGATGGCTAAGGAACCAAACAGGACAAAAAAAAAAGATCATTTTGACTTTTCTCTCTGTCTTTCCTTTTTGCAATGCAGGTAAAGTGGGAGACTGGAAAAACATGTTCACAGAGGAGGACAGTAGAAAATTTGAAACCGTCTTCACCTCAAAGATGATGGAGAACAGCACTTTAGAGTTTGTGTGGGAGTAGTGGTCCTACAGACCACGAGAGTATAGATCACATCAACTGATCCCTTTCAAACTAGTTAATCATTTATGTGTGGATTACAGTATATGTTAACCCTTCACTTGTTTTGTGATAATTATGTTTTGAATTCTTTAATTATGTTGTTCATGTGAAACCTACAGTGATGCTTTTGAGGTTGTCTTCTTCTTCTTTTTCTCCTTTTTAAGTTATAAATAGATTAATAAAGCTTATATGCTTGAATGTGTCATGTCATTTTTGTTTCCTTGGTTCAAAACAAGTGGCACTTTACACTTCAGGCTAAGAAGTTGACAGTTACGTAACCATGACAACAAAGAGCAGAGGGAGAAGTCCAGGTGACAGGGTTTAACATAAAGCTCTTTGTCCCCATGGCTGAGTCGTTCTTGTGTGTCTTTTTACTTCAAACACCTCACCTCTGTTTAAGCAGATTTATATGCATAAAAAAGTAATTTTATTCAAACATCAGGTATCTGTTTGATTTGGATTTGAATTTTTGAAGCACAACCACGCTTTAGACTTTTTAAGCAGTCTCTTTAGTCTGTATGTATTTATGTCTGTGTAACAAGTGTGTGATGTTGAAACTCACAGCACTTAACATGAGCAGCCACTGAGCGTGCTTTTTATTTCACAGGTGATTGTCTGTGCAGTTCATGTTGATGTCATGGTCCTGGGCCATGTTGGCCCAGTATTCTTAGTTTTTGTGTGTTTTGTGTTTTGTTCCCTATTTATGCCTTGGTTCCTAGGTTATTTAGTTAAGATGTTCCTTATTTGGTTACCTCCTGTGTGCCCCTGTGTATCTGTGAGCCCTCGTCTCTCCTTGTGTTTTATTCCATGTTTTCCCCAGCCCGTTATGTCTGTGTTCTCCCCGTGCTCTCTCTCCTCCTGTCTGAACCTCCGTGTACTTCCTGTTTTACTTTGACAGTCTCTCGTCAGTATGCGTCATGTTGTGTTCATTCCTGCCCTGTCTCGTTATGGTTATCTGTGTCAGCTGTGTTCCCCGTGTGTTCCCACTTCCCTCGTTAACCCTCTGTGTATTTATGTCTGCATCTCCCTCAGTTCGGTGTCACGTTCTCCCTCATGCTGTGTGTGATTCTCCCTGTGTTTCTTGGGGTGCTTTATATTTAGTTTTTCCCAGTTTAGTTTTGTATTACCTGTGATCTGCCTTTCCAGCAATAAAGCTGTGTTCTCTGAGTTTATTCCTCGTGTCCCCGTGAGTGTGCGTTTGGGTCCTCTCCTGCCTGCCACACAGCCGAATCATGACAGTTAGTGTGCAAGAATCAGAATCAGAATCAGAATACTTTATTGATCCCTGGGGGAAATTATTTTTTGTTACAGTGCTCCATTTTAAACCAACAACAAGAATCTGCGTTTTGGCTACTTCATTGAGTGCGTGCACCTTTAAATCGAGACGTCATCTGGCCTGATTTGAAAGAAACCATTCAAACTCAAGCTTGAAAAACCTTGAAGCTGTGAAAGCCCCCTAATGAAAGAATCATCACTTCTGAATGCAGTTAAGGTTTGTTGGAGGTTTATTGGAAAGTGAGCCAAATGAGAGAAAGAAAACTATGCTTAGGCCTTCTGCCTTTGATTGTGAGATAAATATGTCTTGCAGAACATTCAATAAATTTTGGATTGATTTATCTTTACCATTTATTAGGGATACACATTTCCCTCTGTTTATAAAAGACGCTGGCCTCTTCTTCGTCTTTCACCTTCTGTCACTGATTATTTCGATTTTTGTCACAACGTCCTGAATATTCAAATTGACAAGGGCACACATGTGCTGCTATATCAGCTGCTGATAAAGCCCCATACACAGCCCCACATGCAAACACCGGTGATTGAAGCGCTCGAGCTGTTGTTGTGCACACAGGCTCACACATTTTGGTCATGTGAGAATTCACTTCACACCTCTCGTACCCCTCTCTGACTCTGCTGAGGGCAAGGAGGTTGAAGGGTAAAGCTGCTGCCAGTGTTAAACGGTTTAAACACAGCAGGACTTTTGAAAAATTGGATTTTTCTTCATTTAGCCTCATATTAATCATTATCAATGATGATGGCAGAGTGTTTTGGCAAGGACAAGATGTTTGGCTGATACAAAGGTTGCTGTAAGCTGTAATTAGCCCACACATTCTGAGATTTATATTTTGTTCTTAGATCAAAGATTTTATAGACACATTTATAGACAATCTACTTATATACAAGATGTTTAACATGAGTTATGGCCTGCTCTGGATGTTATGAGATGGACCATCTGTTTTTGAGTAGTTTGCCTCCATTCCTGGAGGAGTGCAGCATGCGGCTGTGCAATGCTGGTCGGTTGTGGCTTTCTTTAAACATGTTGACGCTGCATCTCCCAGGCATGTTCAGTAGGAGGCTTACTGAGAGTAAATCCTGGCCAAGGAAGTATTTGGATGTGCTCCTGATCCAGAAAGGTCTGTACTACTCTGGCAGTGTGGAAGTGGGGATTCTGCCTCACATGTTGATGTGGTAAACTGAACCAAGTCTCAGATGTGCAGGTGAGTTACTTTGTGTTTGGTAAATAAACGACTTCCTGACCTCTTCCTGACTTATTCTTCCTATTACCGGTTTTAGTGTAGACTAAATTACTACATTGTTGTCATACTATGACAACAATGTAGTAATTTAGTTTAGTAATATACAGTTTAGTAATATACAGTTTGAAAGGCACAGTCAAATCATATTTAGCGTTTTAGGGTGTCACAGACTGCAGATTTATATTTCACTGCACAACGACTTGTGAAACTGAGGAGGAAAAAGCACAGTGGCACAGTTTTATGACAGTGGCAGTGGCGTACAGCTACAATAGTCACTTTGTTGTAATTGGTTGCAGAAGGAAGTGTACATCTTTGAAGTTTTGCACTTAAATGCATGTTGTCTTTTTGTGGCATGCTGTTGTTTTTCAAAAAACAACGAGAAGTTGCTTAAGATTCTGCGCAGAGTAAACTTCTCCCTGTTACTATTATCCTCGCTCTGCAAGCCTCTGCTAAAACCCTCCCTCAGGAAAAAAAGTGTTCTCTAAACACATGTCTAAGCTTTATATATGATTTTCGGTCTACAATGACTTAGTATCAACTTATTATCCAAACTTCAAAGGCAATACACAGCTGAGTCATGACAACTGGTTGTACTCTGGGCAGGAAGGCGTGACAGTCCTGGCATTTGCATGGCATTTAATACCCATTAGGTCCATCATCCCTCCCCATTGTGTCAGAACCTGAGAAGGCACAGCTGCAGAGGACTCAGAGTATTTCAGTTCCTCTCTAAACCACACAGTATTTTAAAGAAGAACATACTGGTTCCCGTCAAGAAGTAGAGTGTAAGTAAAAACAAAAATAACGGTGTGATGTGAAAGACTTTAGGCACCAGTGATTTGCATGGAGCCTTAAATACTTTTGTCTGGCCTAACCTATCTCTCTAACTTGAGCTCAAGCAGGCCTGTGGTTACAGCAGTTGCCCAATGATTTCTTCTTTTTCGCCCCTTGCACTGATAGTTGATGTTGCGTCTTTAATATTGGGCCACAGTCTTGCGCAAAGATGCTTTATCATGTGCAAGGGCCAGAAATCAAACTGCCAACCCTGCAAACAGTGAACAAATCACTTTACCCTTACATAACATTACTTTAGAGTGTTTTTCTTTATTTTACTATCATTAGTAGCAGTTTTTCAAAGATAACTGTATTTTTTAGCCTGTTTCCTAAATGCTTTTACATGAGAGCAATCCATATGTCACCAGTGACATAATGCCAGGACTGTTGATATTATTTAATAATTTGTTTATTTTATGATTTAAAAATGTTAGCTGTATGACCTTTAACCTATGGTACATTGTTATCTGGATTATTACATTCAAAATGGCATATGTTTAAACATAAATACATACAAGCATGAATAAATGTCACAATATTTGACTACAGTACCTGAGTGAAAATATGTAGTTACTTTCCTCCACTCAATAGAGGCATCATCAACGCATTAAAAAAGGGGCTACCCATGGTAATTTGATCTCTATAGCACAATTAAAAGCAACAAGGTTGACTACAAAGCAATAGAGTTTTAAGACAGAGTTTAAAAGACTGTAGAGACTTTTCAGTATGAATATTGAGCGGAAGGTTGTTCCACAGTCTCGTGGCTGTAACTGCAAAAGCCGGATCCCCTCCGCGCTTAATTTGAGACCTCAGCTCTATTAAGAGATTCAGGCTAGATGACATCACTCCAGCACTAAAATATCTATTTGATGAATTCAGTCGAGGTGTCAGTAAAGCATGATAATTATCACGTATAAGAATATATGTAAAAACTGAATACAGACATGGATACTCTTTAATGGATTTTAATGATTCTGAAAAAAAGAGAAATCAGGAGGATAGATACTGGCATTTCAGCACAAAGACTGGTTTATATTTTAATCTTACAGTTGTTTTGATGGCTGACTCTATTATTTCCTGATAAAATCTGAAGGGAAGTGTCCAAGCAAGCACGTCTACCACGAATAAGGCTATCTATGATTAACAAATGACAGGAAAAAAAATCCTGCTCTATTATTGCCTTATCGAAAAACGTGCAGTGCAGTGAATATGGCAATGGTCAGTGAAGCCTAAAAGGATTCTGTTTCCCAGTTACCCACGACAACAGAGTACACAAACCAGCAGCTGAGTACACAACGCACTTCTAACTGACTGACTGACTTAGAAAATAGCTTTATTTTGCAGAACTGGTGTCACAAAGACCCATTCGTTCCCATGAAGATTAAATTTACAGAGTAAATTTGCCTTGAAACTGAGTTCCTGTTTGTTGTGACAAATAAGCAGGACGGGAACTACAGGAACAGGGCTGTGTTGGGAAGTCTGAATAAAGAGCTTGAATAAAAATGACTAGACGACAACAATAATGACTTTCTGTCAAGATGAACCCATATGAGTTCAGGACCTGCTAAAACTTTGAACTGAATTTTACGTGTGACACCTCTTTTCGTTTGGCCTCATGCCCCACAGTTCATCAGATGTGACATATAAACCTCCAAAATCTTGTCTCATCTTTAAAAGTTTGGTGTTTTTACAGAACTTGGGTAACAAATATTCAGTAAAGTGGCAGTTGAGAGCAGTGAATATTTTAACATGAATGATAGTCTACTTCTGCTGTAGATGCAGTTAAAAAAACTGAA